AGCCCCTCCCTCCTCCCTGAGCCACATGGCTCTCTCTAGTCCTGGAGCTGCTTGGGGACGGTCAGACCCCACCTCGCTGGTGGGCCTGGAGGGGCTGTAATCAGCCGTCATTAAAGGAGCGGACGCGTGCGACAGCTGTGGCAGCCCCTTCAATACACGCGACACCCCAGGCTCGGCGCCCGCTGACCTCTTCCTCGCAGGGCCGGGCGCAGGGAGGGGCAGCAGGTTCCCTGGGGCTTTCCCACACACAGGCCCCAGTGCTCATCTGCCCCGTGTCCCGGGGACATGGGAGGTGGGCACTGCTGTGGGGGTGACTGACACATGGCTCTCATGGCACCACTTCAGCACCCTGTCCCCCCAGAACCAATGCTAGCGACAGGCTGGGCAGATGCCAGCATGTCCATGTCTGTATTTGCCGTCCTCCGTGGCACTGGGGCGGGTGACAGGACAGGCCACGCCAGGCCCTGTGCCCAGCACGCCCACCTGTAACTTGTTTAACCTCACAAACACCCTCCAACTCCCGCGCTGGGATGGGGCCCGTCACACAAATGGGAAGCGGAACCAGACGAACGAGAAGAGAAGCCTCGAGGAGGGTGCTCGCTGCCCTTTGCCCGGTGCCAGGAAGGCAGGTGGCAAGCACGGAAGGGTCAGAGGTGGCCACGCAGCAACCTTAGGGCCCCACAGCCCGGCTCCAGGCTGCTGTCGCCAACAAGGGACCCGCCAGGCACCAGGCCCCTCAGGACACGCAGCGCCCTCTGGATGTTTCCTGCTTGTTCCTGGGCATGCGGCTTCTTATGTTAAATGCTCATTGGACCATTTTCAATGCAAACGTATCTAAAACAGGACCGTCTGGCACGGACTTTAGTGCCGGTTTGGGGGACAGCACAGTGAGTGAGGGTGTGGAGGCGGAAATGAGGTTAAGGGTCTCAAACAACACACTGTCATCTTGGTGACAAGCACACAGGCGAGGCCCGGACAGCGAGGCGCAGACCTGAGGTCCAGGACCTGGCTGGCGACCACGCCGGGCTGCGTGGACTTCCCCTCGGGCAGGTCGTACAGGAAGAGCTTGCAGTCGCAGACCACAGCGTAGGCCCGCTGCCACCCCTTCTTCACACCCGTGGGCTTCGGGACCTGAGCGCCACCTGGGGCCTGGGGGGGCGGGGGGGGGGAGTGGCCTTCCTGGAGGTGCCACGGGCCACCATCGCCCTCTGCTGGCCGGCTTCTCACAGGCAGCTCCCCGCACCCTCGCAGGCCAGTGGCCAGAGCCTGGTCTGGGCCAGGGAGTCAGGGCGCTGCTGTGGAGGGCGAGCACTGACAGGGTTACGCGGGGACAAGGCGGACAGCCCAGCGACAGGGACACTCACAGCCGGGAGCACTCGGAAACTACAGCTGGCCGGCCCTCACAGCACTCGGCCCCGGAGCCTGTCTGAGCGCCTGGCAGGAGGCGGACAGGCCCTGACTCCGAGTGCTTCGTGGATCGGGCCGCCCAGGACGGGTACAGGGTCATCGCAGACACGAGGGCCCAGCGTCCTACCCTCACGTAGCCCTTGTAGGCGGTCCCGATGCCCCGCTGCACGTCCACGCCCAGGGGCCGCTTGGCCTGCTCGGGAGGGAGGGGGCACACCTGGGGAGCGCTGTCTCGGCAGGACACGTGGCAGGCAAACGAGCACACTGGAGCGGTGAGGGGGCAGCGTCAGGATGTGGCCCGGAGGCCCCGGGACCCCACACGTGGTGGTTTCTGAACACGTCCCGCCACAGCTCGGGGACGGGGCACAGCGCAGGCAGGGCCGCCAGGACACCTTGACGTGCAAGGACTGTCCCGGAGCCGGCCTGTCCTCCCCCAGCCCCGACAGGAAACGACGTGCTGGTCTGACAGGTGATGGCACATACGGGGGTCCTGGCCACCCATCACAGGGCTGGCCCTGCACTGTGAGCACACAGCTCCGCCCAGCCCAGGGTGTCACTGGGCACCTGTGACCTTAGCCAGTGGCGCTGCACGGGTGGTTGCACCCAAATGTGAGTGAGCGCAGGCGTGGCAAGGCCCAGCCCAGGCTTGAGACGAGGCGGAGGGAAGAGGCCCAGGGTGCTCCCTCCAGTGGACTCGCTGGAGGTCGGGCCTCCGTTCTGCTGGGCTAATCTTCAGCATGACTGCACGGCACACTCTGTGGGCAGCCGTGACCACCAGAGGCCCGGCTCACCCGCCAGCGCGGCTCCCACGCAGCGAGGACTAGGCTTTCAGCCCCGGCTCACGGAGCATTTACACAACTAGGGGAGGAGGCTCCCTCGCTCACTCCCACTGGCTGCGTCCCACCCCCCTGTGCCCCAGGGCTGCGGGGATACTCACCCTCGCAGGCGTAGCCCTGGCGGAGGAGCCCCACCATCAGGGAGGTGCAGTGGCTGCACTGAGTGGGGCTGGAGAAGGACTTGATGCTGAACTGGTGGGCTTTGGGCTGTGGGGAGAACACCGACAAGGTGAAGCACACACTTGGAATTCATTAACAGTTTGGCACCATCTGTTTGATCTTGAGAAAGAGAACGTGTGTGATCTCCTGCTGAGGTGCCGTGGCCCGGGCAGTGCTACCGAAGACCAGTGCGTAGACCAGTGCGTAACACCCACCCGAGGAGCTTGAGCCAAAAGTCCGTCACCACATGCTTCCTTCAGAGATGAATGGCATAAAGCAAGGTTGGCGCAGAGGGAGCGTGGCTGCCCCTCACCTCCCAGAGGCCCTTGGGGGCCACCCGGGGCTACGTGTGGGCGGGGCTCCCACCCAGAGCTGCCCTCCCACCTGAGACCAACAGACATACACGGAATGAGCAGCAGCCCCTTCCTAACAGCAAGAGCGGAGACGGCGCCCTCCCTGGGAGGAGGGACCCAAGTGACGGGGTCGCTGATGGAAGGAGACGCAGGCTGGTTACGAGGCTCACACTGCAAAGCCCGAGCCTTTACCCCGCAGGGGACATACATGGGGACCTTCGTAAGAAGCAGGAGGGATGAAAGAACCCAGGTGCAGTCCACCTGCTCCCTGACTGTGAGAATCAAGTCCAACGGCCAAACCATTCACCATCTTTCACAAGACCAAGCTGAGTTCTAGCTGGCATGGCCATTGTGACTGAACCCTGAGAGAGGCCATGACTGCATCAACAAGAACCGCATCTAAGGCGCGTAAGGCCAGATGCCAGTGAAGCCTGAAGCGTGGGCTTGTCCCCCGGGGGGCTCTGGTCGTGTGGACCTGGTGGAGCAGTGTGCACGGCTCTCAGGGCCCAGTGACGAAGGCCAACGACGAAGTGCACACTCGGGAGCTCCTTTCGTGCTGGGGGTGGGGGGGCCCGGGGCAGCCCCCCCCACACACACACCCCACGCACTTCTCCGAGGTGCTCCGTGCAGGCGGGTGGGTAAAGGGAAGTAAATCTGGAGAAGGAGCTCAGACACATCACAGAGCAGCTGCACTGGAGAGGGAACTGGTCTGGGAGTGAAGGGGCTGGGAGATCTAACTCAGACACGTTTCCGTGAAATCCGCTCAGGCAGCGCTGGTTAGGGCCACCGGGTCCCGACGCTCCCTGGATCGCACAGCACTCAGAGCGTCCGCTAACAGGACACGCCTGTCTGTCTGATTCACACGGCTCTTCTAAACCGAGGAGGCGCCCAGGGGAAAGCCAGGCTTACCTTTGGTCCAGACAGAGCGAGGGCCTGCGAGGCGGGTGGCGGCCCGGCGGGCGGCCTCTGCGGGGCCCCAGCCATGTCCTGGGAGACAAGCGGGACAGGTGAGCGCCGTGCTAGCTCAGCGCTGCTCTAGCCAGACCCTGCGCGGATCCCTTCCCCCCGGAGCTGATCAATAATGAACAGTTCTGCATTTTTAATTCGCGACATTGTGGAGACACCTGTCGAAGCACGCCTCATCTAGCCGATGCGCCGACGGCAGCTCTGAAATGCAAGCTGGGCTCAGAGCTGGCGCTGCGGGCGGGACCGAGCGCACCAGCCTCGGCCTCCAGCAGCAGGTGGACGCGGGGCCGAGGGGGCAGACCTGGGGTCACGGTCCGGGGCAGTCTTACCTCCTGCTGCTGCTCTGTGCTTGCAGCCATGGATGTGGATGGGGACACTTCTGGCTTTGGAGCTTGTGTTTCTTGCTCACTAGCTGAGCTGGTCTGTGGGGAAAAGGCAAAGAAATTGTGAGATTGAAAGAACTCACTCGGCAGAATTCAGACTCTCCTACATGTTCTCTATTTAAAAAGTGCATCCCCCCATAATAAAAAGTGCCTCCCACTGGGGAGCCGAGGTCCAGCACAGTCTTGTTCCTGGGGCACGTGTCGCCACTCCTCACCCTTCCCTGCATGCCGAGGCTGCAGGGTGACCTCCGGCCGGGACCCTGATGAGACACCGTCACCAGCCAAGGCAAAAGCTACCCTTGAAGGGAGGCGCCGGGAAACGCCAGCCCTCTGACGGACATGACTATCTCTGTATCTTCCAGCCGGAGCCCAACGCTTCTTAACCTCATCTCAGGGACCAACAGAGGCCTGTGGGCCCCTGACCAGAAGGGAGAGTTTCCCTGAGTTTGATACACAGGGAAGCAATGTTTTGTTCTGACAACTCAAGATTCCCAAATTATTTCTATTTGGAATTGGAGCTTAAGCTTTGAAGCCAATTTGAAGCTAAAGCTGCATTCTGAGACCATCTTTAGGTTGTAACAAGTGTCCCTGAAACTAGTATTTCCCCATCAAAGGTCACGCCCTCTGTCCACTGGTGCGCGCGCACCATTCATGCGTGTGGAAGCAGTGCAGCCCGAGCACAAGGAGACAGCACCAGACAGACGCCGGGAGGCGCCCACAGGAGTGCCCACAGCTGCGCTTGGTGCTCCAGCTGACGGAGCCGACCGGGGAAGCCCTACAGCAGCCGCAGTCAGTGGGCTGCCTGAGGAGCCCTCGGGTGCCAGGAGCTCGCGCAGCCCCCATGCAGCCCCGCGGCCGTCCTGCGTGCGTACAGAATTTCCCAGGGGAGAGCTAGCGATCAAGGCTACAGATGTAAAGCATGTTTCTTCCATGAAAGGAATGTTAAAGAAGTTAGAGCCACAGTTTTAGAAAAATGAGGAGCAAGTGAATGTTAATTTAACGTTGACCACGCAGTTGTGAACTGATCAGAAGGGTGCACACTGAGGGAGGTGGTGGCCCACGCAGCTGCGATGTCACTGTCCTGTGGACGAGGTATCTTGTGGACGTGTGCCAGGCTGCCCTGGCACCAGTGAGGCGGCGAGGACGTGGAGGAGGGACAGACAGGAGGACAGAACAATCACTCCCAACCAGTAAGAACCTGCATGGAAACTGGACTCCATCATTCCCAGTCCTAAACAGCATGTTGCCTGTGGGGAGAGAGAGGTTCTAGGAGACCACTCCCGGTGTGGGCCCACCTCCCAGCAGACCCAGACTCCAACCAAGGCTCTTCCCGTAGGGACTGTCCTTTCTCCTGAGCCGGAGCAGGAACGGCTGTCAAAGCGCTGACGTTAACGGCACTAACACGCGGGGTGCCGGCTCCGAGGACAGGTACCAAGACCAGCCCCACCGCGGGCTGACGTGGCCAGTGCGGCCAGTGAGGGGTCCGAGCTGGAAAGCACCTGCTGGAGATGCCGCTGCCACCCACTCCACAGAAGAGCGGCCCTCCTGGCCCCTCCGCCCGCTAACTGCAGTCTCCGGTCCTCGGGAAGCTGCACCCGCGGTCACGGCGGAGTCCGATGCCGCCTGCCGCAGGCTCACGGCACGATGACCAGAGCTGCAGAGGCGCCGCTGCAGTGCAATCTGCTTGCTTCTTAAGCACTGCAGCCTCTGCCTGGCCCGAACGGCTCAGCGGTTAGATCGTTGGCCCAATGCGCCAAATTGCGGGTTTGATCTCAGGTCAGGGCAGATCCGTGAAGGAGTACATAAGTGAAACCACAAGTCGATGTTTCTCTCTTAAAAAAAAAAAAAAAAAAAGCCCTGGCGGGTGGCTCAGGTGACTGCAATGTCGTCCTGTACGGCAAAAAAGTTGCAGGTCTGACGCCCAATCAGGGCGTATACCCAGGTTGCAGATTCAATCCCTGGTGGGGGTGCATACGAGAGGCAACCCATTGATGTCTTTCTCTCACATCAATGTTTCTCTCTCCACCCTTCCTGTCACTCTCTGCTAAAAAAAAAAGTAAATGATAACAAAAACACTGCCCTGGAGTGAGGATTACAAACAAACTGAGGGCTTCGGGAAGACAAACCGCCAACCCGACAAAGCCTGTGTCCAAAGCGACAGCAGTGGCAGTGCCAGGACGACAGGAGCAAGCCTGCCGGGTTTGGTAAGGCTGGCCCAGGCCGGGAGAGCTGGCCGCTGGCCAGGCTGCTGTGGGTGGCGCATCCATTGGCCCTTTCCGGGCGAGGTCTGGCACACCCCCTCAACCCAATGTCTTCTGCAGAGCGTGGAACCTGCACGTGTCCCCTGCAGAATTCCCGCCAAAATGTCCAGCCCACGTGTCACGAGCGGGAGCATCAGACAAACCCAGAGGCTGGGCCTCACAACACTGCTGGTCTGGGCCAGGCAAACAGCCACTCTCGGGGATGGAGGCACCGTTCCAGAGCACAGGGGGCCAGCGGGACAGCTCAGCACGGCTCCCAGGCTCCGCCTGGACCGGCAACCAGGGCCTCAGGGCCACCTCGTCCCACGACAGCGATATCGCGGTTCCGAGGGGCCACCTCGTCCCACGACAGCGACATCGCGGTTCTGAGGGGCCACCTCGTCCACACGACAGAGACATCGCGGTTCCGAGGGGCCACCTCGTCCCACGACAGCGACATCGCGGTTCCGAGGGGCCACCTCGTCCCACGACAGCGACATCGCGGTTCCGTGGGGCCACCTCGTCCCACGACAGAGACATCGCGGTTCCGTGGGGCCACCTCGTCCCACGACAGCGACATCGCGGTTCCGAGGGCCACCTCGTCCACACAACAGCGACATCGCGGTTCCGAGGGGCCACCTCGTCCCACGACAGCGACATCATGGTTAGCTGCGGTTATGCGGGAGGATGGCCTGACTTAGGACATGCCGGGAGCCGGTCCATCCTTGCTGTTTCAAGGGACCTGGCATATATGGCATAATGTTCTTAATATGTTTGCTCACCTTCTTGGCACTATGTGTTTTAACCAAGGTCACCTCTCTGAGAAAGGTTGTTTCCCCAGGTAGGGATTTTCCCCTGAAGTTAGGGAGGGAATAAAACCCCTTAACTATGTGCCAGGCGGGTAATTAATCACTTTAACTACGAACAATCATGCTTAACCTACATAATCTTTACTCCCTGGAATGGAGATAAGAAACGCCCTAACCTTTGGAATAGAGATTGATAGGATTAGAATCCACTGGTATAAATACAGATGTACAAGACAACAGGACTCAGAACCTAGACACAGAACCTAGAGACAGAACCTACACAGAACCTAGAGACAGAACATGGCAAAAGATCCTGGACAGAAACTGGCAACAGAACCTAGAGACAGAACCTAGCGAGAGAACCTGGCTGAAGATCCTAGAGACAGAACCTGGCTGGAGAACCTGGATAGAACATGGCAAGAGAACCTGACTAGAACCTGGTGACTGAACCTGACTGGAGAACCTGGATAAAACCTGGCAGGAGAACCTCTCTATGCTGATCAACAGAACCTGGCTGGAGAACCCAACTATGCTGATCAACTGAACGCTGCCTCCGTGTCATTCCTCCTTCGCCAACTCCGTCCGCACCTTTGGGGACCCCTGGACCTGCTGGGGTTGGACCCCAGCATCTGGCGCCCGAACAGGGACATGAACCCTGGACCCTCAGATACAGAACCTAGACACAGAACCTAGACACGGAACATGGCAAAAGATCCTGGACAGAAACTGGTAACAGAACCTAGAGACAGAACCTGACTACAGAACCTGGATAGAACATGGCAAGAGAACCTGACTAGAACCTGGTGACTGAACCTGGCTGGAGAACCTAGCGAGGGAACATGGCTATAGAATCTGGCTTGAGAACATGAAGGACTTGCCTACAGAACCTGGGAATAAACCAGGCAAGAGAACCCAGCCATGCTGATCAACTGAACGCTGCCTCTGTGTCATTCCTTCTTCGCAGACTCTGTCCACACCTTTGGGGACCCCTGGACCTTCTGGGTTTGGACCCCAGCAAGGACATGAACTCTGGAGTAGCCCAGGGTCGCTGATGCCTACAACGCATTTTCAATAGCTGGGGGGAGTGTGGTGCACAGGGCGGGAGGAGCTGCACAGGGCAGGACGCCGGGTGATGCACCGGGTGAGAGGTGTGTGCTCGCTGCAAACTCTTTCGCCTCCGCTGCAGGTGTAAACATTTCTAAACAAAGGCGGGAAAACCCGCACACGCCTCACAGGCCCTGTGAATGGGACCTGCTTGCACGCTTTTCCCTGTCCGGCTTCCAGAGGCTGCTAGAAGGGTCCCGCCTACTCTTCTGAAAAGGGGAAGACGCAGTGCTCGAGGCGCGGAAACAGTGCACGGGGAGCGGGGCTCACCCTGCGTTCTGCCGCTTCCTGCACAGGCAGCACCGCCTGCTCCCCGGGGAGGTGCCGCCCCAACTCCAACTCCAGCGGCAGCGAGGGGCCTCCACCCGTCGGGGAGACCTGAAGGGGAGCCAGGACGCCCCCCGAAGGTCTGCTTGCCGTTCCCTGGCTGCAGTGGAGGCTGTGCTTTACCAGCTGCCTGGAGCAGCGCAGGCAGAGGCCCAGGCAGCCTCTGCCCTGAAGACACGGAGCGGTTTCTTAGCAGCTCTCACTAATTCTGGAAGCTTCTCTGGAAACATCACAAGTCCTGACACGTCTATAACCTACACACTTCACATCCTGGGTGGAGGACAGGTCAGCGTGACTGAGGTCGAGTGTCAGATGGTACTTGGCTGGTGTGTTCTGGCCCCACAGGAGTTAGGTCACAGGGCACTATTTCTAACCCATCATAAATGCGCTTTTCGCTTGTAAAACAGTTACTCACTCTGAAAGTCAGGTCATGTGCAAGCGGTGCAGTGTTGAAATACTCAAAAATAGAATCCTGAAAATCTGGAAGTTTGAGTCCTGCAAGACAGAGATAGTCACGGTGAAAACGTAAGACGATCTTATGCTGAGATGGGAAGGCTCCGTGTTGGCAGACGCCGGCGCTCCCCAGCTAACCGATAAACCTGATGTGGTGCCACACCAACGCCGGGACTTTCCCAGCTGGGACGGGAATGCAAGCTCACCTGGGAGGGGGGAGGGGGGAGGGAGGAGGAGGGAGAGGGAGGACACCTCGGAGTCCCACCAGCTGTTAAAACGGACCCACAAGAGGTCTGGCCCAGGAATGACGAACAGGGGAGAATAGCCCGGCTCAGAGCAGGCGCCCAGGGTAATCTCACGCATGAGCAGAGTAACAGAAAGTCAGCAGGGACAGGGACTTAACTGGTGCTGAACAGCTAACGGGCCACGGGAAAAAGATAGGACGGGTCCCCCCGGACTGCACGTCCTCACAAACTCCAAGCGGGCTGGTGAGCTACCTGCACAGCGACCCTGCACGCGCTGGAGGAGAGCACGGGTGCACCCCCCCGAACAACTGGGCGCAGGAGTCTCTCTCTGCCTCAAAGGGGAAACACTGATCAGACACACGCACCATTTAAAACCCTATCCCCGGCTTAAAAATAAACAGCCTGAAGTAAAAGACAGCGGAGAAAAAATACTTGCAACTTCGGTCACAAACAAAAGCCTCTAATCCTCAATGCCCAGAAAGCTTCGGAGAAGTAAGAAAAAGACTGCCCAGCTTCTATTTCTAAAATGGGCAAAGGGTACAAATGTATAAACCAGAGGAAGAACCACAGCCAGCCCACGTCCTGCTCAGAGTAAGAAAACACAAACCCGGCTCCGCTGCGATGCTGCTTCGCACCGACAGGGTGACCCCACCTGGGAGTGACGGGGACCCGCCCGACCCGTGGCCGGCAAAGACGTCCCGGCGCCTGCAGCAGTGGCAGCACCTGCAAGGTGTGCACGCGGACCCTGGGACCGGCAGTTCACACTGGACATCTCGCCCAAAACACAGTGACGGGAATGGGAAATGCCGTACGCGGGTCCACACCCAGCAGCGGGTTCCAGGACAGCGAGGCCGGAGTGGCAGACACCCGGCCACAGGGCACAGAGCGGTCCCTGTCATGGGATGTGACGTCTAACTACACTCATTTCTTTCAAGACCGAACACAGGAAGGACCACCCAGACCTGTGGGTGGCTCCAGGGAGCGAATCACTGGACGCACCCATTTCAGAGTTTTGGCTTTGGAATGACTAAATGTTCTCTTCAAATAACTAAAAGCTACTAAACCCAAAAGAAATTAAATCTAAAAACAAAACCATTTCATTAAAAAAGGCTTATACTTTAAAAATGTAAAAACTTGTAATTTTAATTTACCAGTATCTGCTCTAAATTTTTCTTCCATCTTCTTCTTCAAAATTTCCATTTCTTCTAATAATGCTTTATTTTTGGCTTCCGAGTCCTTTAGTTTACTAAAAGGGGAAATAGGCGGCGTTAGGTGCAGAGCCAGGCCATCTGCGAGCGACTGAGAGGAAGGCGGGGCGGGGCTGTCCCCGGGAAAGTGCCGGACGCGCCCAGGCTCCACACACATGCGGACAGACACACGCGTGACGGGCCGGCCTCCCCTAGCGCGTCTGGATGGTACCAGTGGTTCCGCAGCACAAACACGGATGGCAAAGACCACGGTGTGGAGCCCGCGGCATGGACACTGCTCTCTCTCTGGACCACCCTATGCCCTCTGAGGACACACAGCCCAGGGCACTCAGACCTTACACCTGTGTCTTTCCCCTAACCGGCAAGATGGTGGCTACCACCTCCCTGAGCACAAGGTCTTGGGGTTCCTAGGCTTTTGTGGGGGGGACAGTGCAGCCAGCTGCTGCAGCCAACATCTGGCACGGCGGCGAGCAGGCCAGTCCAGCACGGGGGGACCTGCCATCGAATCCTGGCTCTGCACCTGCGTAGGGGTGACACCCGCCCACACCTCAGCCCCACCCTCTGAGGGACCGCAGGCGTGCCCCAGGGCCCACACGGGGGGACAAGCACCTTTCAAAGGAGAGGTTCGAGTCCTTGGCCTTCCTCAGCTCCTCCTGAACCAGCTGCTTGGCCCGGATCTCGGCCTCCAGCGCCGACTGCAGCTCCAGCCGCGCGGACATGTCCAGCTTCTGACTGCGGCGCACCTTCCAGAGCGGGTCCTGTGTGCGTTGGTTCGAATGTGAGAGACACACTTTAAACTTCACAAAATTAACGCCAACAAATAATACATTCATCTGTTTCTAACCTTAAACGTTTATCATATTTAAAGATTAACTCTCAGATATTATCAAAGTCCATCACAGCCAATTTTATTTTCAATATTTTATGGCCTTTATTCTTCCTTAGAGATCTTCTAAAAATTCACTAATTTTTTGAAGGAATAAAATGGATCCTATAATGTAATTTTTAAAATTGATTTCAAAGAGGAAGAGAGAGAGAGAGAAACATCAACGATGAGAAAGAATAATTGATCGCTAACTCCTACACACCCCTTACTGGGGAATCGAGCCCTCAACCTGAGCATGTGCCCTGACCTGGAATCAAACCCAGGACCCTTCAGTCCGCAGGCCGACGCTCTAGCCCAGCCGTGGGCAAACTACGGCCCGCGAGCCGGATCCGGCCCGTTCGGCTGTTCTATCCGGCCCGCGGAGCCAAAAGAGCGGAGGGTTCTCTTGCTCTCCCCTCCGCTCCTTCACCAGCAGCAGTGTTAACATGTATTAGTTCACACAAACACTCCATCCATGCTCTTGTTCCGGCCCTCCGGTCCAGTTTAAGAACCCATTGTGGCCTTCAAGTCAAAAAGTTTGCCCACCCCTGCTCTAGCCACTGAGACACACCAGCCAGGGCCATCATGTAATTTCTATTTGGGCCACTAGGCTCTTACAAAGCTAGGCGGCACTGCGCGGTCACAGTTATCTTCCTTCCTTCTATCCCAGTGACGGCGAACCTTTTCAGCTTGCCGAGTCAGCATTTGAAAAACCCTAACTGAACTCTGGTGCCGTGTCACATAGAGAAATTTTTTGATATTTGCAACCATAGTAAAACAAAGACTTATATTTTTGATATTTATTTTATATATTTAAATGCCATTTAACAAAGAAATATCAACCAAAAAAATGAGTTCGCGTGTCACCTCTGACACGCGTGTCACAGGTTCATCATCACTGTTCTATCCTGAAGCATTTGGCTATTTCCTCACTGCAGGAATGATGGCATTCTTTACCGACATGCCTACCTGAGAGGAGACTAAGAGAAAGGAAAAGGAGGGGCAGGGCACGGCCAGGGGATGGCGCAGCGAGGGAAGCAGCCGCTGCAGCACCTGCTCACTGGGCGGGCCTACCAGCCCGCTGACTTCCAAGGGAATGAGAGGCACCTGGATACTTTGTTCCTAAGTTTTCAAGCACAGCCGAGGCTGCCGCTCTCCGTCCATCGCGGAGAAGAGTGCGGCCCGAGGGGCCTTTCCCAGCTGCAGGCAGGAGCAGGCGTGGAGGGAACGTGACTGAGCCCTCAGTCTCCAGAATCAGTAAATGAATATACCCTCAGGGAAAAAGGAACTGCAACCTCATCCAATGTGCCCTGCAATAGGAGCCATCTACATGTATTCTGCAACAAGAATCTCCGAAGCCCGTGCTGCTAGGAGGACCTGTGGCGGCATCTTTCTCCTCCTACGAGGGTTGCGCACAGACTGGTCAGCGCAGCTCCGAGGAGCCAGGGCACACAGCAGCTGGAAGAGGAGCGCTGAGATGGAAGAGACTTATTGACCATCCCAGTTGCTGCAGAAACCTCACCCCTAAAAGCGAAGATGTTTGTTTCCCAGGGATGGGGCGATGCGGCCGTGGTCTTCTCTTCAGAAGCCTGAGCTGTCACTGTTTCTCAGACAGAGGGCTCTGGGGATGCAGGGGAGTCCCTGGGACATGCACTAAGGCCGCTGCCTGCTCAGCCTCCGCACCCACAGACTGAGCTCTGGTGCTCGTGTGAGCTGAGCAGTTACCACACCTGCAGGCGCTGTCCCTTTGGGTCAATATACCTTCCAACCAGGAAAAATGACGGAACCAGAATTCTAATAAACCCTTTCACTGAGCCTCTGTTCTTACTGTTCTGTATTGTTTGTTCACAAAATGAATAGTTTTTAAAAAGTAAATGGGACCCAGAAAAATGGAGACGAGGGAACTGGGCTGAGGACCTGTGCAGCCCCAAGTGGCCACACTCCCAGCGCTGCAAACACAGACCACTGGCTGGTCACCGAGAAGGCCTGTCCCGAGGGTGGGCCGTCTTGCTCATGGAGGATGTCCCCACAGGGCACGGCACCACTGAGCATGGCGACATGAGCGAGGACGACAGCACCTGGCCTCCCGGAGCGGACACCATGCCAGTGCTCCTCACACCACTGTCCCCAAGGGAACGGCCTGCGTGGTGCTTCACGGCGAAAGCCCCTTGCGAGTCCCCTGGGACAGACGTGTGCTTTAGGACACAACCCACCAGTGTTCTCGACCCCAGGCTGGAGCTCCTCAACGCCTCGAGCTCTTCCGTCATCTTCGAAGCCAGAGCTTGGAGGTAGCCCCGCGCATCTTTCTCATCGCTGACCCTGCGGGAGGGGACGTGATGTCTGAGTGCCAGGAGCCAGGAGCACGCATGGGTCCCGCCTCCCTGAGGACACAGGGACCCACATCCTCTCACGGGACACCAGTCCCTGTGACAACAGAATGCCCCCGAGGCTGGCCGGTGTTGCTCAGTGGTTAAGCGTCGACCTATGAACCAGGAGGTCCTGCAGGAGGCAGCTGATCAATGACTCTCTCATCACTGATGTCTGTCTCTCTCTCCCTCTCCCTTCCTCTCTGAAACCAATAAAAATATGTATAAAAAAAGAACACGCCGCAATAGAGGCCAGTCCCCGCTCCTCCGGTTGCCTGCCCTGCGTGGCGCTTGGTGAAGCGGCACCTCCGAGGGCGGTGTGCCTGCACAGCCTCAGCCACACCTCAGAGACCTGGTGGCTGCCTCTCCACCTTTAGCTCAGCGCAACGGCCCTGGGCAGAACTGCCACTGCCACTAGTGATGTGGGGCACAGCGGAGGGCTGTGCCTGGGCGTCAGAGAAATAGCAGGTGTACATGACCGTCACAGAGGAAGATGGAGCTGGAGAACTGGCACCCTGGGCTGGGCCACACCTGAGCCTGGGCCACACCCGAGCCTGAGCCACACCCGAGCCTGGGCCACTCGAC